GATTGGAGGAGTACGAAAGGAGGTCGGGTTTGGTCCAGTAGATGCAGGTTAACCTGGAGCAACCAGTAAGAGTAGCAGAGGGCACGTTTAAGTTCCCTTACTTGATTATCTCTAAGTCAACCTAGAAATTGTTCCAATCCTCAAGAGTTTTACTATTTGGATTTTGTTTCAGGTTCATAGTCTATTCTGAAACAGTTGCTCTTTTATGTAGCATTTTTGAATCTGAATTTCATATTCTTACCTCTAGAAAGGGGGTGTGGTAGTTAGGGTCTGATATGAACTAAATTAATTCAAGCAAATTATCCCAATTCCATTAGTTATTTAGTATTACAATAATTCTGAGCAGTTCAGTAATTTGGAAGACAGTTACACTCTGAAAGGTATGGAACAGAATCACTCCTCCTGCAAAGGAATAAATACAGTATTAAATAAGAAGATTGTCACAGAGTCTGTCAGTCATTGTTGGCCAAAAGGTACAGTCACGTCTGTCAGAGTCCAGAGTCGGGTCAGTTCCCCTCTCCACCGGCCGGGTCCAAACGCACACTCACGACTGCAGCACCATCATTTTCTCTAACCCACAGCCATTCTAACTTTTATCTTCTCCCAGTTACATATCCTGTCACTCCCCTCCTATTGCTTAAGCCAGAGTCAGTTTACGCCAGCTCTACACCCCTTCTTCCCAGAACTGTCTGAGATGTCCAGTACATGAACTTCTAGGTTGCATTGACCCAGCGCACGTGAACTTAAGTGAGCACACAAACAGTTCACATAAGGCTGAAGTTATGCCCAACTTTAAGCTTCCAATTTAAGGGAGGCTGCTCCCTGGATGTTGACCCATAAGCCAAGATATTCTTGCTTGAGCAAGCTATCAGTGCATGGTTCCCATGGTCTCCATGCACAAGCATCTCCAAACATTTCAGAGAAGAGAAACAAATCTTTCCAAGATTACATAAACACTTAGCTCACCCATAACTATCAACTATTTCCTACTGTGAGAAAAAAGGTCCATTCTTTTGAAAAGAGAAGACTAATAAAAAGATATATTTCTCTATATGAAATTTATTATGCATTAACGTATCAAAATAAGCATGTGCACATGGATCCCTTCTGTTTAGGATAAACAGAAAAGACTAAATTCAACTTAGCAGTACACAACATTTATATGAAAAAATGTTACTCTCTGATTGGTCCAAAAACTGTTTAATTCTTACATAGACATCTATATCTTTCTTTGTTACCACCAAGATACTTTAGGCACTAACCCCCCTTAGCAATAAAACTTCTCTGCCTGTGTGAGTGTATATTACCCTGTCTTTTGAAGTTGTCTTCTCTTCCTGCTTTAGATTGAATCTCTGTTCCTGCTCTCCTAAAAACTCCAATAAACTTCTAGCCCCCCATCCCATCAGCCAAGTGGTGTGGTAATAAAGTAATTGTGGACCCTCTTTGCTAAAGCTATTAACCTTAAAACTCAGTGTTTTAGTAAACCAGTCTCCTTTGATGTTAAACAGTACTCTAGTTGGCTTACAGAGAAAATACTGACCAGTGATTCAATGCAGACTTAAGGTGATATGTAACTACATAAACATAAACACAACTGTGAGAGTAAAATATATAAACTTATGTATGCTATATAATAAAACCCTAACTAATTATATATTTCTATCTAAAAATGAAAATCACCCTAACACTACTGCAAACAGTATCTATATGTAATCTATTCCTACTATATTCTATTACATATTACCTTTTTAACAGGTACCTTCTTTGTTTTTGACCACTACAGTGGCAAGTTCATTTATATGGCAAACTAACCAAAATTTTGTGTAATTATTATGAGTGATTAATTACCAATAAATATCAGTTGAAGTACCAATCTTTGGAGTGGAATAATTACACTTAACACATCCGTTTAAGGAACTGATCTCTGAATCAGTGAGGGAATGAATTCTCTAGAACACTGACGGCTACTCTCAAGAAAATAGACATGACCTTGGGTTTTATACATTTTATTAACTAATCTACAACTACATGGCTACATTACTAAACTAATAACTCACTGGATGAATGGCAAGTATATAAGCAATAGAGATAAAATGTAAAAACATGATATAGTGACAGAGGTGTGACTGCAGGATGAATGGGAATGGTGACAGTCGAAACCAGAAAAATTATATCCTGAATGAATTCAGCTAAAATTTTGGAAAAATTGCGAATAAATTAAGATCTATCCTATCCATCAGGCTTTAACCATGCAGCCAGGTAGAGTGAAGACAGCTTAGCCTATTGTGGTTTGGTGTGTATGCCCAGGACCAAGTAATGTGTTCCACAGACTTTAGAAGCTGCGGGCTCCAGAAGTTCTTAGCAACAGCTCGAGTTGCTTCAGTGACTGGGGAGTCCTCGCTCCTTCAGGCCCAGAAGATGGCTGGCTGTCGGCAGGAGGCTGGAAGTTTGGATCGGCTCTTATTGGGTTCTTCCCAGTCTGGCTGGGTGTCAGATTGGCTGTGTAGACCTAGACTGCTGCACATTAAATCGAGCAGTACAGTGGGTGCAGCTATAGTAACATAGATTTGGCAATCTGCATTGAAAAGCTGGAGATGATTTCCTTCAAAAAGCTTGTGAATAAGAAAAAAAAAACTCATTCAACTCAAAGCTCAATAAGATGTGATCGCTCTTCAAAGATGGCTTCTTGTTAATTTTAAATTATGCAGGTTTGGTTTGTTCCCTGAGAATCTAAAAATACAAAGGTAATACAAATACACTGTGATGAAGAGGAAAACATCAGGAGCCTGCGAAAAAATAATAGAAAACACAGGAAACATGGAGAAGTTTACAGCATGAGGTATGGACAAAAACTTTTCTAGACAAAAGACTCATTAGAATTAACTTCTCTAAGTTTGTGACATAAGCCCAAGGAGGTAGTGTCTCCTGGCCAGCTTAAGTTGCTGGAATTTTAGCTTATTCCTCCTGACAGAACTGGTGGAACTGAGTCAGGTTTGGGTCAGG